AGCAGTGGCAGCTGTCCCATGGCAGAGGATGTCTTTGTGCATGTGGACATGAGCGGAGCCCCTCCTGATGCCTCCAGCAACTCAGGGCAGATAGGAAAGGAGGGAGGAGATGCGGGGAAACAGCAGAATGGTGGCTGCAAGCCACAGAGTAGCATGGAAAGTGCACCTGAGGATGTGCCTGCCTTTGAGAAGCTAAGCCCATATCCTACTCCTTCGCCTCCCCATCCTATGTACCCGGGGCGCAAAGTGATTGAGTTCTCTGAGGACAAGGTAAGGATCCCAAAGAACAGTCCCCTGCCCAACTGCACGTACGCTACACGCCAGGCCATCTCCCTCAGCCTGGTGCAGAGTGAAGATGAGAGCTGCGACAGGCACCGGACACTCCCCAGCAGCCCTGCTTCAGAGGGGCGCCGTTCAGCCTCCAGCTGTTCCTGTCAGCAGTCCCCCAAAGCAGCCAGAGCTCACGGATCTTCCCAGAGCAGCCCATTCAGCAGCCCTCCCCAGATCCCGAGCGCCTTTGCCAGCTCTGCCAGCTCCGAGGAGGACCTGCTGGCCAACTGGCAGCGTATGTTTGTGGACAAGGCACCCCCCACCTCAGAGCGAGTGCTGATGAACCGCACTGCTTTCAGCCGTGACACAGCCCCCGAGCTCCAGAAAAGGTTCAGCCGCTCCATGCAGGAGCTGGGTAGGGCAGCCTCGGCTTACTCAGACGGTGAGGAGTCCGCGCAGAGCTGCAGCTGGACCGTGAGCCGGGACTCGAGTGTGGACACAGACAGCACTGAGTCCAGAGCCCGCAGGAGCCATTTCTCCTCAGACTATGGTACAGATTTCTCCCAGGATGAAGCCCAGAAGCTGTTGCATGAAAGCGGTGGAGGCAGTGCTGAGCCCGAAAGCCCCTCACCAGAGAAGCACAAGGACTATGTGGACCTTGGCTTGCCTGAGAGCCCAGCTGAGGAGAGAGAAATACTGCTCCAGGGAAACAAGGAGAGCAACCAAGGAGGTGCCCAAGAGGAAAGTGGAGAAGGCAGGGTCAAGCCTCCCTTCAGTCGAGTGCATCGCAGCCCCAAGAGGATGGGCGTCCACCACTTACATCGTAAGGACAGTCTGACACAGGCCCAGGAGCAGGGCAACCTTCTCAGCTGAGGCAGAGCAAGATGCAGCCACACGCTGCAGAGCTGTGGGATGCCTCCATCAGTCCACCTGAAGGAGAAACCTCCCTTAATACTCTCCTCCTGGAGGGAGTCTGCTCTGAAATTTTATATTTATTCTCTTCCTTTTGCTACCTGGAAGAGCTGAGGTCTCCCTTCCCTGGCACCTCAGACCCACAGTACTAGCACATGCAGTGTGCAGAAGCACACCCACTGGCCCCAATATGCTCAGAGCTCTCTCCACGCTGGTGCCTGTACCAGAGCTAGTTCTTGGTACCCCTCCTCCTGGTGCCTGTGCCTCTTTACACTCTCATCCTCCTTCCCCCTTCCCACTCAGGTACCTGAGGCCCTGGGTGCTCTTGTGCTGGTTGCCCACAGCTGCTCTGCTCTCTTTTAACTTGTGCCAACAGGGCAGAGTGCCTGTGTGGTGCTGTCTGATTCCCTGGGAACCCCAGCGGCCATGAGTGGGGCACAAGGACTCTCCCAGCAGACGGCTGTGTGCCGTGGGGATGTGCTGGGATTGCTGGTGTCTCATTTTTCTGCTGGTTTTTGTTTTCCCCAGCTACCCATGGAATGGTTCTCCAGAATCTGCCTCTGCAGATTTCCAGCATTGGGCTCAGCACCTGGTCCCTACAGAGGCAGCGCACGGGTGCTGCCTGCTGAGGTGGTCCGGGGACACACTGCCTGCTGGGTGCTGGGGTTTGTGTTTGTGTGTCTCCTCCCTCACACCTCTTCCCCTGCTCTCTGTGCTGTTGTTTTGTTTGAACGGTGCTGATGCTTTGCTCTTGGGTGGGCTTCTTTCTTCTTTCCAAGCCTTTGGTTTTGGGGTGTATTGTTTTTTTCGTTCTCCCCACCCCACATAAACAGACACAGCCGTTGGCAGCCGGTCTGATGCCTGCGTTGAGGGTGTGTTGAGGAGGCTCAGCTATCAGAGCTGCGCTTCCCTCTGATCCTGGCCTCCAGCCTGCAGAAACCCCTCCAGACTCAAGAACAAGGTGTTGCCCCAGGCAAGCAAGGCATGAAGGATGGTACCGGCTTTTCTGGGCAGGGCTTGGTGCGGGGCCAGCAGGGATGTGAGGGCAGCACGCTGAGGAGCTGCTCCCTGTAGATGCACTACCTCATGGCTCGGCAGTAACCCTTTGCCATGGTCTCCTTGCACGCCCCCTTCTCTGGGGGGCTCCAGGCTGGCTCTGGTGCCTCTCTGGAGTCTTCCCTTCTGGGTGGGGCTCTCTGGGTGTTTTTCCTAGCGTAGTGTGATATTGTGTGACTTTTCTTCTCAGTCTTGTGTGCTCAGTGTCTTCTTGGGGGGGAGGGAAGGGGAGATGTCTGTAGATGTAGGTGTTTTTTTTTTTTGAGGGCTTACAGAGCCCAGGCCTCCTGTTTTAATTTTGTCCTGTGCTCTTGTCTTTCTGGTGTTTTGCTGCTCCCCTGGGAGTGCGAGGCAGAGAACAGCCCAGTTCCCTGCACCACACCCCCTTCAAACCCCACTGTTTTCCCTCAGTCTGCTGTCTGGTTTTTGAGTTGGGTTTGTGTTGTCCTCCCACCCTACACAATGAGGGCTCTTCACTGGGCTGGAGGAGAGCACCCCTCTCTCCATGAGGGAGCTTCTGTTCATATGCTTACATCAAGATGTACAACTGAGAGCTGCCTGGGGGCCCTGCTCCTCTCCCCAGACCCCTGTCTCTGCAAAGGGCTTGCAGCTTTTAGCTGGGGCCAGCCAGGGCTTCAGCTTGAGCCTGGAGGCTCCACGGCCAGTGAAAGGGAGCTGCAGGCCCCTCTGGCAGCTGTGTAGGTTGCTTTATGTACCCTGGCTAGAGCTGCTGCCTACACACTCACCTTGTTTCCTGCCTCGAACAGTTGTGGAGCTGGATGCCACCCTCTGGTGGGGACTCAGTATTTCACTCCAGTATTTTTCTTGGTCCCTGTGCAGACAGGCTGGTGCTGAGAGCGGGAGCCTCTTCTGAGCCTGCAGAGTGTTCATCTGCCCTGTCCCAGTCGTGGTGTCAGGGTCCTTGTGTTTGCTGTCATCAGCTGCTCCACTGCTGCATTTCTTCTGTTCTGCAGCGTTGCTGAGAGTTTGCACCTACAGCAGCTGCCAGATCCTGCCTCATGGATGTCACCTGGGGTTGGATGCTCACTGAGCAAGCTGCTCCGGCTCTGAGGCCACTGGTGGCCTGCAGTCGGGGAGGCACTGCCCCTCAGGGCTCAGCCCCATCTCCCCTGAATCCTGGCGTGCTGGTCAGGGGACAAAACCCTCTCTTGCTGAGGCAGCTGGTGCTGATGGTGCTGGGCAGAGCCTGCCTCCCTCTGCTTTTGGTCAAGGTAGACTGAAAAGCAGAACAGTGGAGGGGTGGCAAGAGTGCCCAGAGCCTCACCAGACACCTGTGCTTTGCAGCATTAGGCTGCTGGCAGAGGTTGAGGGGAAGCGGTGGCCTCAAGGATCAGAGCCTTCTCCCCACGGGCATGGTGCCCTCTGCATTCCTGCCCACCTCCAGCAGTATTGGCTCTGGGGCCTTGAGCTCATCCCACTTCCAGTGTCCCAACTCCAGACTGTTAATCTGTAACTAATGTGTTTTTTCTGAGATTTTCAAACTGATGTATATTTTAAGACCAGAAATAAACTATTTTAAAAGTAGAATGGCAATGGCTGTAGCGCTCTTGATGCTGCTTAAAACCTGGGCTGAGCGTGTGAAGGAGCAGAGCTGCTCAGGGTACAGTGTCCCAAGTTTGTTGAACTGTGTGTGCCACCCATTAGTTCTCAGAAGGAGAGTGATCCTGTGACCTGTAAACAGCCTCAGTGTTACTGGTAAGATTCTGCCTACCCCGTTTCAAGTATTTTGCTAGCTGTCCTGGCTGTGTCTTGGCAGACCCTCCACCTGCTGATCTAGAGTAGGATGAGGTGTAGCTCAATCCTTTTAATAGCTGTTGGTTTTCTTAAAGTCCCAGCTCTTGGATTTAGCTGAGAGTATCAGTTCTCCACTTCAGAAACTGAGTTATGTGGAACCAAGTACCGTACCGCCTTGCTGGAGTTCCTAAGGGGGTTCTAATTCTAGAGGCAGTATTTTGTGTGGGGAGGATGGAGGTTGATTGGACATACCCCAGGCAGGAAGCTGTCCAAATATAAGACAGCGAGTTCCTGCAGGATGCTGTTATGGACACTTGGAAGTGCTTCCTTGTTGCGTTGAATGGTGCTGCAGAGGTCAGAGGGCTCTGATGAATTTTCTTCCATCTCCCACATTATGCTGTGCCTTTCTGACCTTCATGTATGCAAAGCGTAACACGGGAAGAGTTTCTTGTTCCTTTGTTCACATAATTAATGATATTATTCCTTGTTCCCTTGAGTAGCAGCTGCGGCCACAATTTGATCTTCTAGCCTAATTTGAGCCTCGAAACACGATCTTTCTTGTCTGCCCCAGCAAGGGACGCTTGGCCAAGCAGCACAACCCGCGGTGCTGGTGCGGTCGGTGAACCCTTCACCAGTGGGTGCGCGGCTGGTGCCAAGCTCCCCGCAGAGCCGGTCTAGCCCAGCCTCTTGGGCCGAGGGAGGGCCCGGGGGGGACACAAAGCTGGGCTGTCGCCGAGCTCTCCCCAGGGCCCGGCCTACGGAGGGGCCTGGGCAGGCGGGGAGGGCCCGCAAAGAGCGGGGTGAGGGGCTGCCGCCCCCTGCCGGCGCTCCGGCCCCGCAGCGCCTGCCTGCGCCGCTCCCTGCCCGCCCCTGCCGATACCTGCCGGCCCCTGCCCGCCCCTATCGGGCCCTGCCCGCCCCTGCCGATACCTACGGGCTCCTGCCGGCCCTTGCCGGCCTCCGCCTCCCCGGGCTCGCACAATGACGACGCACTCGGACGCTGCCACGAGTGGTGCCACCACGTCTGTGACCTTTATAAAACTCTCATCGCGACAGCAGTACAAGCGATAGAAAGGACATCTCTTATACACATCTGAATAAATACGGCCTGCGCCCTGCGGGCACAGCCGGGCGTGGGGGGGAGCGGCGTGAGCTACACACATGCGGCGACGGGACAAGCACAAGCGGCCGACTGGGCGTGTGACAACACAGAGACGTGTGTAGAGATTTGCTCGGACCAGGCTCCGGCGCTCAGAGAGCCGAGTGAGGCGCCGACAGGAGGTGAAATGTGTGAGAAGTGGGCTGGGGAGCCCAGCGGAGGCGGGCGGCCGGCGGGCACACGCTGTCCCCGTGGGCACGGTGCTCTTCTTCTCGGCAGAAGCAGGCAGGGTAGCCCAGCTACATCTCCGTTTCTGCTAAGAGGCTGTCACCGAGACCTGACGTCATCAGGACCATCTGGGAGCTGGAATCTGTGTCGAGAGAGGGAGAAAACCATGAGCCTTTTGGGCTGCCAGAGAGCACAGGGCTGTACTCCAGATTCCAGAGGTGAGGATGAGGAATTAGAGCACTGCAGGGTGGGAGGAGAACTGCTGAGAGAAGTGTGAGATTAAGTAGTCTGGCCATGCAGCAGAACAGAATCGATGCTTGGAGAGGGGGAGAAAGCAGAGACAGCAGCAAGAGCACAAAGGAACATCAGCCCTGAACCCTCCCCACATGCAGAGCATACTGCTTGTGCTGGCCCAGCCGTGCCCTTACCCAGCCCTGCACTCACCAAGTGCTTTTTGGTTAGAGAGAGTGTCCAGGTGGGATGGGTTGTCAGGTTGCAAGCCAGCCAAGCCCACATAAGGTGGTGGTGCTGCCTTCCCAAGAGCAGGGAACACAGTGGGCAGTCAGCCATGTTACAGCAGCAGAGGCCTGGAAATACTGACTTTCTGCACGGCATGAATGGAGGGTTTGTGCAGCCCTTCCCTGCCTGCCTCGGGGAGGTGAGGGCAGCTTGCTGGCTCTGTGATGGCACAGAGCACCAGCCAGGAACACTGTGACTCTCCCCACACTGAGTGAATCAGATGCAAGGAGGATGGGCATGCATAGCAAGTAAGAAACTCAGCAGGATACCAATGTCCCAACCAGAAGCCTTTTTAAACAGAAAAAGAAAAAAAATCATCTGTTTGGTTTTTTTTCTGGATAGGAACGAGGAGATCTTTAGTGGCAGTCCTGCACATTCAAAACTGCTGCATGGGATCTCTGTTTTCGGGGATCAATTTTTGGAAACTGGATCCAAAACTTGGACAAAACTGTCACTAAATTATTTTTATGGCTTTTACAAATGAGGATCCAGATGTTTTCGAGTTGTGCTTGTTTCCTTCTAGTGTGATATGAGAATTGTGAGGGGGAAAGGACAACTGAAGGTAAAAAACAACCCCTCAAAAGAGCTGGATCATAAGGTAGGAATGTCAATATATAATATCATATATACAAACTATACCGAACAGGCTACTGCTCTCTCCATAATATACCTTTTTTTTTTCTTTTACAAGGAACAGACAGGCTGTGGCACCTGGCTAACCCTTCACACGTTTGGGACACAGAGATAGGAACAGCTGATGCTGTGCTGATTGCAGGGAGGTTCTGGAAGCGGTAAGGAATGACACAAGTTTTGGCTAGCCTATCTGGCAAAGGCTCCTGAGATCTTTAATGCTGCCCTTGAGTTTTAAGACTTTGCATAAAGATTTCGTTCCTGCAGCATCAGGAAAAACGCCTCAGAGGCACCGTTTCCACTCTTTCCAGCAGCCGCATTGTCCTTGGAGGCTGCCTTTCCAAAAGCGGCTCAGCCCAACGCTATTTAGCATGAAGGTCACGCCTAGAGGTTGTACGTATTCCAGTTCACGCAGGGAAAAGGACAAATCCCATTCACCAACCCCAACGCAAGAGACCAGTGGCACTGGAAACACCCCAGACACTCCAATTCCTACCCGTCAGCTCCTGCCCGCAGCCCAGCTCCCAGAGCTCTTACTGTTCTGGCAGATCCAGGGGTTCTTCTCCCTGGCTGTGACTTCATGAGCCTCCGTCTCCTCCTCTTCCTCACCCTCTGAGAGAAGGTCAGAGATCTGCTGCTGCAGCTCAGGACTAATGTTGTTCTCCGCCAGGATGAGTGTCCGTAGGGCTGTGGGGTAGTTCTCTACCATGTCCAGCAAGGTCTGGGTGCAGAGTGAGATAAACAGGCTGACAAGTAGCACAAACAGCAGCAAGGCTGAGCAGAAAGAGCATCAGTGCTCTGTGTCTCTGCAAACTCCAGCTCTCCTCTTCTTACCTCTACCTTCCCTTGGCCCTTCATCAGGCTTTATGAGAGACTGAGGACTTCCCATCTTTCCGTGGGGAAAGCTGAGCTTAGATTTCCTGGCTCTATCTAAAGAAGAAGGGACTGCTCTACACCCTGTTGCTACCAAATATCCAGGCTCATTCCCTCTGACCACTGGGAGCTGGGGCTCTGCGAAGAGAGCCTGTACTACTGAGCCTTGGCCCCTATATGTCCTCAGAGCTTTAGCTCTGATCCTCAGTCAAAAATCCAGCCCCTTACTTCTTCCAAGAAAGCAGTCAGGGGAAAGCAAGAACACCCCTGGGTGCAGGGAGGAAAGGAGGCGCATGTGGACTCAGGGCAGAGGGTGGAGGCAGGTGTAGGTCCTAAGGCCTCTACAGACATCCCCGTCCTGTGCCACTGAGATGTCAGTGATGCTGCAGAGAAACTGTGGGCTCTCATACCTGGGCTGACTGGTTGGTTAGTCCTGTTCCCTCCAAGTCCAGAACTTCGAGGGTTCGACTGGAGGCCACAGCGACGGCGAGCATCCCTGCCACCTGGTCACCTGTGGGAGAAGCAAACCAGGGCTGTCAGCAGTGCCTGCCTTTCCTCATGTAATACCACATGCCCTTGTGGAAACTTCCTCTGAGTATATCTGCCATCAGACAACCTCCAAACCTGTTCCTCAGGGAGAAAAAAAGCTGTTAACTAAGAAAAGAGACAAGAAAAGGTGCACCATTTTGTGGTTATGGGAACAATCACTGATTGTCAGTGAACATGGGGGAACATGAAGGAACACAGTGAAACTGGATTTGTTCCCAAAGGAACCAAATTTTTCCAAATCTCCTTCCTACACAAGGATGCAAGGGCCTTTAAGAGTCCCTGTAATGCATCACAGCCACAGAATAGGAGCTAAAGACTTCAGTAGAGGGCTGGAGCCAGACAGAGGACGCTGCACCAGATGAAGGACTGCCTCCCTGGAAAGGGGGTAAACTTTTGGACACAGCAGGACAGGGAGCATTAAAGATTGATGCTGGTGAAGAGACAAGACCCCAGTGTGTTCTCCTGACATTCTCTGCTGAGTGCCAAGATGCCATACAACTGTGACACCTTCTCTTGGAGCAAAACCCAGAGTGCTGTCAGGTAACACCCTTGGAGCCTTTCCTGCCCAAGAGGAGGTACTTGGTCAGACAGAGGGCCTGGGGGGAGGCTCTGTTTGCAGACAGGGTGAGAAGGGGAGTGCCCTGCTCATGCTCAGGGAGGCATGGCCTGATCTCCTCCTCACCACCTTGCAGCAGAGCTGGAGAGAGTTTGTTTCTATGGCAACGAGTGCCAGGCTCTCCTCGTCCTCCTCCTCCTCCTCCCTGCTCCTCCAGGAAAATGAAGGGGGGAGCGCGGGGACATACTGCATCTGCCAAGCCAGCTTCGGCGCCCAGTTCTTCAGGAAAAAAGGGAGACACAGAGGGTCAAACATAACAACAAAGGCAATGGAGTGGGCAAGGCACAACCTGCTTTCTGCACCTCCCTGCAGGGTACGTGGCCACTTCACACAACCAGAGCAGTGAGGGTGGCTTCCCCTACAGGTGAAGGTGCCCAGCAGGGCGAACTTGCTGCTGGGGATCAGAAGGCAGGGAACTGCCCCATCCTACTGTTGATGGTCTACTGCCTTTCTAGAGCTTGGTCCCCAGCCACCCGCTGGTGCCAGTGGCACAAAAACTGAGAGGCAGGAATGCTGCATCCTCTGCTCCTCCTCCCTGGTCCCCAGCTTACCTAGGGGGTTGTAGTCCAGGTTCAGCACGCGGAGCTGTGAGCTGTGAGCCACTGCAATGGCCAGGCGTCCCCAGCCTTTGCTTGTGATGCCTGGGTTGGCGCTCAGTGTTAGCTCTTTGAGGCCTGGAGAAGAGAGAGAAGCCAAACCAGAGCCTTAGGGTCACCAAAGAAGTTTCAGAGGAACTATTTCAGCTCACCAGAACAGCTCTGAGTTTGGGGGCCTAAGGGTTTGGTTTGCTCTTTGGTTTGATGACAACTGTCATCACATATTTCAGAGATCAGTGAAATATTTCACTGCCTTCAGCAGTAGCCCTTCATTTATCCATGCTGTGACTGCCCCACTTATCTGCACTCCCAACCTCTGTCTCGCTTACCCGAAATAGCAAACACAATGGAAACAGGTAAGGGGTGTGTGAGACGACTGACTGGGTGAAGAAGGTGACATGAGGTGACAGGTTGGAGAGAGGATAACAGGGACAGTAGGCTCTGAAGCCTGCACCTGGGAGAGGTGGCCAGCAGAGATAACAGCATCAGTGGCATTGTGAGGACATGGAGGAGGAAGTGCTGGGGAGAGGTGGAAAGTACTTAGAGAGTCAGGAAAAAGGAGTGGTATTACTTCCGCAAGTGCCAGCTCTCAGCTTAACTGGCTCACTGGCCTCACACCACCAAAGATTATTCCCTGCAAAGACCCGAGCCTTGGCACTGAGGCTATGGCCATGCAACTACACACTCACACAGTGCACCTGCAAGCAGGGACAATTCCCAGGCACTGACAATAAAGCCAAGTGCTGAGGTGGGAGCACACAATATATTTATCTATGGTCATTATCAACACTCAACTGCGAAATAAATTCAAAATCCAAGCTGTCCCCTCCTCCAGTTTCAAATGCTCCTGACATGAACCAGAAACAACCTGTTGGTCTCTGAGCTCCAATCTGCCAGCAGGACAGATCAATTACAGAAAGCCCATGCCTGCACAAAGGGAACCACTTCTTTATTGCCTGGCTTTTCTGCTTCACTTAAGTTGGGGGAAAGAAATTCCTCAGCCCAGGCAAACCAATGAGCCTGCCTCCTCCAGGGCTGAGGATTTACTGCTGCATGCATCTGCTCTGTGTGAAAGCTCCACTGATCATTGTGCAGCCCACAGCCCCTGGTGCTTACCGGACTTGGCCCCATCAGGCGGCAGGAGCCCACAGATAAGGTTGATGCCTTCATCACCCAGCATGCAGTCTCCTAGATCCAGAGCCACCAGCGAGGGGTGGATGGAAAGAGCAGGGTTGAGGAGGGCCAAGCCTGCATCTGTCAAGGGACTCCCATGGAGGCTGTGCAGGTAAAAGGGAAAATTACTACGGAGCCTTCTTCCTGGGGTCTAACTAACCTGACAGGGAGGGAGAAGCAGACGAAATGAGCTGGATGACAAATACTAACGCCAAGTGGGCAAAAAGTGCTGGGAAGCTTCCTCTGCTGCGAGGATCAGCTGGCCGCTGCGGTGGCCCTCCTCCCCGGGCCGGGACGAGTGGGTAGAGGGGATGGCAGCGCGGCAGGGGCAGCCCCACCACCGGGGCAGCCAGGCTAGAGGGCCGGGACTGAAAGTGCCCAGCCTGCGGGGGCAGAGGTGGCTCCCTCCCAGCCAGGTGACGGGCAGGGGCTTATCCACCACAGTGTCAAGGGCATTTTCCCTCCGACAAGACTCAAATTCAAGGGCTGGCCCGGAGCCCCGCGAAAGAGCCGTCCTCGCCCGGGAGGGATCCAGAGCCCCCTCCCCCCGGCAGCCCCCGCCCCGCTGTACTCACAAGAGAGACTGGACGGAGCGGTTCGTCTTCAGGGCCTCGGCCAGCTGCTTGACGCGGTTGATGTTGGAGACGATGCCCAGGTTGAGGTTGAGCTGGGCGAGGGAGCGGGACTCGGCCACCCCACGGCAGACGTGCCCGAAGTCCCGCTCGGAGAGCTGGCAGCCCCGCAGCGACAGCAGCCGCACCGAGTTCTCCCGCAGGCTCTCGCAGATGTCCCGGATCTCCGCCCCCGACAGCGTCTCCCCGGAGATCTGGATGGACCCCGGCAGCATCTTCCCCGGGCTCGGGGACCCGCCGATCCCGGGGCCGCGCCGCCCGGCCGCCGGGGTAGAGCCGCGCTGTGCGCTGCGGGCCGGGGCGGGCGCCGCCGCCGCCGCCGCCGCCGCTGCCCGGCAGTGCCGGCCCGGCCCACCGCGGCCCCGGGGGCGGCACCGCGCTGCCTTCACCGGCGGCCGCCGGGCCGCCCCGCTCCACCCGGCGGGGCGGCGGGACCCAGGAGAGCCATCGGCCGGGGCTAATCCGGACCGGGGCGCAGCGCCGGGCGGGGGCCGAGCAGCCCCACGGGTCCCCGCCCCGCTCCGCCCGCACCTGCCGGGCCGCCCCGCCTCCTCACGGCCGCCTCTCCGGGCCCTCCTACCGCCCGGCAGCCGGCTCCTCGCGGAACGGCGTGGGCGTGGAGGGGCCCCCCACCCCACTCCCGCATCCCCCACCCCACCCCGGCAAGTCCCCCGCTAGGCGGGGGGCGGCGGCAGCTCCCGCTGGCACCTGCTTGCTGCCCTGAGGGGATGGCGGGGCCGCGTCCCCGGCACCGAGGGGGTGCTGGAGCGGAGGGAGGGTGGGAGAAGCCCCATGGGGAAGAACTCTCCCTGCCAGCCCCGCTCCCACCCGGGGAGGGAGCCAAAGCCATTGGGCCGTGGCGCACGCTGCACGCTTGATCTGAGGAACTGCGATGTTCCGTGTTTTCAGCGACGTTTATGCTTAAACCTGGAACCTGGCCCCATGACTTAATGGCGAGGTCGGTGTGAGGTGATCTTCAAGGCCCCGGGCTCGTGGAGCCGGTGCTGGGAAGCAGCTGGTGAAAGGTGGAGGGTTGAGGAAGGGCCGCAGGCTTCCTTCTCCCTGAGCACACAGTCTGCGCCCTCAGCCTGACCTGAGGTGTGTGGGGTATAACCTGCCTTCTGCTAATGCACGGGAATGGATCAGAGGGATTTGTCCCCTCTCTCCCCCCGGTGGGTAATCCTGTTCTTGGAGAGAAATAGGAAGCAGGGCCCCTGCATTTTCAACTTCACTGAACTGAAAAAGGAAGCCAGTGATGTGGAAATTAGGTTAAACCGCCTAAGTAGGCAGCTCTCTGCACGTAACTAATCTGGCTGCTGCATATAGCAGTGCTCAAGTGAATTCCACACCAGTGGGTAACACTGGGACAAACCCAGGCTCCTCTACTTGGTTTGCAGGCCAGGGTGGGGGAGAGGGGATGGAAAGTGAAGGGAAAAATAGGGTGTGGAAGGGGTTGTGAAGCAGTTCTCCTCCATTTCAATGGAGGACCAGATCACCTGAGCTGAGAGTGCACATTAGGTTCTGAATGAGACAAGGGAACAAGCAGATAAGAAGCTGGACTCAGACACCAGCTTTTAGACTTTGGCTGCAGCATTTAACTTCCAGTATAGGTATCCCATGTCCTTTGAGTAATACATTGTTGTCCTCTAGAGCTATCTACACAGCCCTTTTTCTTTCCCTGTTGCACAGGGATGCATGACCTTGATACTGTTCCTGCAAGGTGTATCAAGAGCAGACCACTGGCCTGGCAACTCATCTGCACTGGGCTATGAGCAGCAGCTGCAAGCACCCAGCTGTGGTACAGCTGATGGCTTTCAGAAAAGGAGCAACTGATCTCTAAGGTCACATCAAATGATCCAAGTGAGAATGGGATCCTATGTATTGCGGGAACAAAGGCTGGATCTTAGAGTGGTGGGTGCAGCGTGGGTGACCAAGAAAATCCCAGCTGCTGCTGCATACAGGTCAACTGGAAGACTACACTGTCTTCTCACCTCTCTATTACCTCCAGGCACTAATCAACCCATGCTTTTTTAAACAGACTATTATTAGAGAGGTGCTTGAAGGAGAGCCCCTGGGACTTGTCCCACTTCCATTGACAGCGGCAGCCCTGAAACACTGATGAAGATGCCCTAGTGCTGGCATCTTCACTGCCTATTGTCAGGAGCAAGAGCACATCGAGGAGACAAGCATCCAACCTCGCTTTATGCTTAAGTACCTTGGAAAAAGTGGCACAGGAGCTAATGGTCCAAAGCCCTGGTTCCCTAAACCTAATTATGGGCTGTGCAGAGGGGACTTTGGAAATGCTATTTTGTGTAGAACTAGATATTGCTTCCTCGTTATGTGCAGTTACCCAGCAGGTATGAGGAAGGTTGTTTATTGTTTACCGACTGGGGGCACAAAGACTGATGCCACTAAGAGTTCACAGAACTACCCTCATTCAAAAGGGTGAGGTGATGGGGGGAATTATTTCAGATTTGTGCCAAGGAAGGAGAGAGAAAATTATTTTAGATTTGCTGCAAGAGCTGTGGCAGGAAACAAAGGTAGAGATATTCTTGTACAATAGGGTTGTAAGGCTTGCCATGATAACAAGAGGACTTGAGTAAGCACTGAAATGCCCTCCCACAAGGACTTTACTAAGGCTGCATGCTCAGCATGCTCCCTGGAACTGCAGCGTGCACACATTTCCCTGAATAAAACTTGTCCTTCTCTGTCAGCAAAAGGCAATGCTGAGGCTCTGTCGAGTACTGAATTTCTGGCAGTACAGAGCAGTTCAGCTTCCAGCTGAATTAATTGGGGCTGAAGAACTGGAGCCGAGCAAGCCCCACAGGTTCCAAGAGGGTGGTTGGTTGTCACCCTGGTTGTGTCCCCAGCTGACATGACACACAAACTGCCCAGGGGACGCGTGAGGAGTTTGCTTGCTGCTCTCTTCTGTGCTTTGAGTGAAACAGGGCACAGCTTCACCCCCCTGGTTCAGCTAAGTGGCTCTGTGTGGGAGCGGAGCACAGCTGTTCTCTGACTGTCTCTGCAGATCAGCAGTAATAGAGTTTGGTGCAGAATGATTTTTCTCCTCGGCTGGACTTAACTCCAGTGACAATTGTCCCTTTCTCTTTTCCTTCCCCCCTGCTTGTGCTTCCAGAGTTCGCACCAAGAGAAACAGATCCATTCTAGGCTGCCAAGGCAAGAACTGTGAATTAGAAACCAACCTCCCATGGAGATATAAAGAGGGAAATACCAGAATCAGCATTACAAACTAACACTTCCATTTTGTCAAGTATCAAAGTAACAGAAATTCTAGGAGCTTAAAGTGGTTCAACTAGTCAAAAAAACCCCAAGGAGACTAGCCCATATAACTAACAGTTCTCCCAAATAACTTGTTCTGAGTGCTGTTCTTCAGCCAAAATGCTTCCTAAAAGAGGGGGAGGGGCAAGCAGGAAGCAGAGGGGAGAAGAGAGTGAGAAAACATGTCTTTATGCATGTGAGTGCTAGCACAAAAGCTTCTTGCTCTAGGAAGGGAACAAATTATGAACATTGGGAATAGGCAAACAGTGGAAAGTAGGTCTGTGACTGAAAATGCTCACATCCAGTGACATTTTTGTTTTAACTGAAGCAGATGACCCGCCTGATGACAGTACCAGTAGCTGGTACAATCTTCCTCTCTTTCATTGCACCTTGGCACTAGTCTGAATGCCACTACAGCTGCATCCTCTCCCATTAATATAAACAAGGGATCAAAGAGTGCAGTGCTGACATGCTGGCTGCCTTGTGCACAGCTAACTTGGGGGGACACCAAGAAAGGGCAACGTCTTGTGGTTTCTTTCTGCCTAAGGATTAGCTTTCTCTGAGGGGTGGCTCCTCTCCTAGATATCCAGAAATACAGAGAAAAAAGGTGAAATCCAGTTATCAGCTAACAGCTTTCCACTCTCAGACCAGTAAAAGAGCAGTGAGGGAAGGCTGAACTACTCATTTCTGTGTTACTGCAGCATAGGTAAGCCTAGACCGGGCTGCTCTGCTTCCCCGTCCTTACTGGAGCTTTCTCAGCATCAGTACGCTGGACATAAATCTGCCAACCTATTTCCATTGCATGCTCCCCTATTTCTCCCTTTGTTTAATGGAAACACTGGAAAAAAGTTTGCCAGAGACCCTCAAGGCTCCGGGAGTCCTTTCAGAAACAAGGCCTAGACTCTGCTCGAAAAGCCAGGCAGTACACAGCAGACGGGGTGTCTGGGGGAGCAGGATGCCACTCCTGCTCAGAGCAATGAGGTGACAGTCCCCTGGCTGGGAGACACAAGGGCAAGCAGCACAAGGGTGGGCTGAACCAGCCTCTTAATAGAAATATCCGCAGAAGACCATGCACAAACATGCTGCCCCTGCATGGCCCACAGAGCAACACGGGTGGAAGGGCGTTCAGAACAAAAGGCACTGTGAAAGCCTGGGGGCAGACACATTTCCAACGTCCACAGGAGAAGGGATGGTGAGGCGAGATAGCAGCTTGGTCCAAGTGAAGAGAGAGGAATCAATCTGGAGCATGACAAGGAAGATCACGTGGCTAAACATTGTGCTGTTCTGAAAGTCTCCAGAGAAAGTGAAGTTCCTGTGCCTCTTGGGCTATGGAAAAGTGCCCAGGACAGGCCACATATCACAGAACATTTGAAGTAGGACAGCAGAAAATTGCAAAGAATCCTGCTTTGAGTCTAGGACGGGACAGATAAAGGCGTAGACACCCAACACCACTCTCCCACTAGACAAGCAGGCTCGAACATAAGACATCACTCAGCACCAACATCAATTTAATTCTTCCCTCTTCAGGACAGTAACAGGGCAGATACTCCTGGAGTTACATCAGCAAGCGGAAAGAGGGCTAAGGGACAAACTGTGCTGGGAAATCCCAGCTAAACATGCAGGCAACAGAACCACTCTACTCAAGACAGCCCAGACCTGGGTGGGGGAAGAGTGTAGTTCTTCTGAGTCACTGAGGTGCGACTCACCTCAGCTGAGTCCACTCTGCTGCCCAAAACTGTAACCCCAAGGACAGGTCCAGGAAAACAAAACAAAGTCGTCTTCTTGTTGTTCTGTCCTGTTCCTAAGAGACAGCAGGTTACTGTGGCCCTATGCAGCCCCAGAAGTAGTGAAGGAAGCAAGTCCAACTCTGTGAAACTACAGGGTCAATGCAACGGCTTTGGCTGTTGTGTTCAGTACAGCACTGGAAACAACTGGAACGTCTCGGGCAACTCTCTGAAAGGGTGGCATGTTTGGTCCTTCCAGTGTGTCCAGGATACCTGCAGGGAACAGAAAAAAGGGGAGAGAGGCAAGAGTTAGTTCAGATGATAGCAGATGGCACATTTCTTCTTGCTTTTCTCTCTGGCCAGGTAGTGGTTGATGGTGGCAGGGCCCAGGATAAGTGAGGCACTTGCAGGCAAGGAGGACATACCTAACCCCAAAGGCTGAGCAAGAGTAAACACCTCCATCCAGAGACCACAGGGTACACACCAGAGCTTGCCCTCGGGGCAGGAAAACTGCATGTTACCGAGAGTAACACGGATCTTTTTGCTTTGAGGGTGTCAGATCCAGTCCCCCACCATTTGACCTGAATGCAGGTACTGCCAGGGATGTTGCTCTGCTGAGGAAGATTGATAAAACCCTGTTCCTACTTCATCCCAGCACAGGTCCTGCTCTTAGACCAAGTGCTTGCTTTCATCCTGAGATACACTTGCAGAATCACTTCAGGAGCTGCAGCTGGGCTGCAATATGGAATTTTTATCACTGCAATGCAAACACAGACCATTCTTGGCAGAAAATACATATCCTGAGGCAAGTGTCCTCAAGTCCCTGTCAATTACCCTCTCAAGACTGATCATCAGTCTTGGAGTGCCTTGAAGAAAATTGACTGGAGCATATTTTATTCTATCTGCCAAAAAATTGCAGATCAGAGCTCAGAACCTTCACCATTAGAACAGATCCAAGAAAGAACAGGATCTATATCTAGAAGGACTTGTAATGCTATGCTATAACTCCTAATTATGCAGATTTATCTGAAATATCATGAATGGGTCTGGCTGCCTAAACTCATAAAGATGTTTGCAGAATTGCGTATTTAGGGATCTGGAAACTCTCTAGAGATAAGTGGGAGAAGGCATTTGGGTTTTTTTTTAAAGGAGGTTGAGACTTTGTTGGAAGAAAACAAAAAGAGACACAGAAAGGGACCTGAAAAAGTATAGCCTGGTGAACAGTACCAACTGGGGAAGATGCAGCTTCTGCTATCTGTGTTGTACAACAGAAGATGAAAAAAGGCATTAAACAAAGAAGGAAAAATACTTATGACACATTTCCTGATTAGAGAAAAGCAACCTGACTTCAGCAATATTCAGGAAGGGGCTGGACATCTGCGTGCAAGAACAGTCAGTCCTGCTACGCTTCACTTGTGGGGAAATAATAAGGGTCCTGCCTCACAACTTGGGTCTTAAGTCCTAAAACTCAGTGCACAGTAACTACCCCATTGTCTACCTGGTGCCCTACTTCAACAGCTTCCTCTAAGAAAGCTACTGCTGGTCGTTTCTTGGGGAAACTGGCACAGATGCCCTAAGGACAGATACAAACCGTCCATCCTTTCAGAGAGAGCAAAAAAGCAGCTTCTCTTCCCCCACATTTAACAGGATGTCTTCATATCTCCCTTGCTTACCTTCTACCACCTTGTGATAGGCAAAGTGCAGATAGAGCAGGAAAAGCATATGCAGAGCAGCAAGAGTCCCACACAGGATGAGCCGCTGGGTATGTCCCACGGTGCGTGACACCAGCACAGCAACCTAGGAGAGAGGTGGAGACCAGAGACAGGGTAGCTGCTACCTGAGCTGCTGGCACTGCAGTCAGGAGCACACAGGAGGATGGGCCAAGTAGGAAGAACAGGAGTATCCATGGAAACGCTAATCTGAGTCTTTTTTTTGCAGTTTTCACCAACAAATTTAGAGCGATGTGACTTTGTTTTGTGTAAGTGAGCCTTGCATGGTCTTGCCAAGAGAAAAGGATGCTCAGGCTTGGCTCTCCACAGCAGCAAGAGCTGTAAGGGAATAAACCTCCTGCAGCTCCTAGAATGGGTGAGGATATTAATCCAAGCAGCATCTCCATACAGCAGTGGCCAAATCACGCAGGATCATCGGGCTGTTCTTCACAGCGGCCCAACTGGCTGTGAAATGAACTGCCAGGCCCAAGGAACAGAAAACAAACACCTCCCTCCCTTTTTTTCTGTCCCAGGAAGAGAAGGGCCCCAGGCTGCCTGTCACTTACCATTCGTAGTGTGGAGAGTCCACCAACAACCAACCAGAAGATATAGAAGAGGGAGTGGAAGTGGATATTATAGGTGACAAAGAGAGTGATGCAGTGTCCAAAAAGGCCATAGCCCTGACAAAACAAAAATGTCCATATTACAAGTGTCAGTCCCACACAAAGGGCCATTGATCAAGAGCACAAACAGCCCATTCCTGCATCACTTCACTAAGGCAAAGCCTCACAAACCACTCATTCAATGCCAAAGAGTCAACCAGAACAACAATTTTAACAGCATCTCACATCCAGATAGTCTGTCTGAAGGATTCACTAGCATGTCAGAGACCGAAACAACTTGGGAAACAGAGGAAAGATTCTCTGATTCCAGTGAAATGCGGGTCTCCTGTTTTTTTCCCCACTAGGCTCTCAAATCAGGAAGTGCAGAGCAGGAGACCTGCATGAAGGAATTGCCCCCTTGCATTATTACTGTGCCTGGAATGGGGTAAGTTTGAAGAGCATCTTGGTTGTCCATCAAGGTTGTCCAAAAGCAGTTACCTGGGACAAATGTTTTACAAGGACTTTTCCCGTTCTTTGAGAAAAGCTTGCGCTGGAACACCATGCAGCCAATGTACACATCCAGAGAGTTCCACCTATACATACCAACAGTGACAGCATCTGCACCATCGTGATTTGGGCATTGCACAGATATGCCAGGAAATACATGAAAGACGAGACGCCCAACCAGTAACCGAAGCAGGTCCCAATGGCTGTTCCCATCAGTGTGCCTTCCCTCTGTGGAGAGAGCGTCAGGATGGGGAGAACTCACAGAAGTGACCTGCTAGCACCCAAATTTCACCCGAGAGTCCCAGAGCCATTATCAGATAGCTGGCTAGCAGTGTTCAGGAGGTCACACGACCCACACACCAGCTCTCCCAGCAGCAGTGTGGGGAGACCTTCTGGTGCATCCTTCCTACTGCCCCCAAACCAGCAGGTTCTTTCTCAAATCCATCTGCTTCCAGCGAGACGCTTATTCAGTTATGGAAGAGGTTTCTTCTCTGTTTCTACTGTAATTGTAGCAATCCAGATCCCAGCCAAACCACAACTCATCACTGAGACTCGACGTACAATGATGGTGTCCGAGGTCTTCATTCCATGCAAAAGAATGGCCACCAGCGTGAAAACCAGCATGAGGGGTCCGTACAGCTCGCCTGCAATCTTCTACAGGAGACAGGTGAGGGAAACTTTGGTTAGTGCTCCTGAGCACCAAGGTCCCCACCACAAGCAATGTGACAACTGTCCTGGATGAAGTTTATCACCTGAGGTTAGGTAAGAGCACGCAGGTTTGGAACAAGCACAAGAAAGGGGTCACCGACATTTTCAGGGAGGTGAACACCTGACCAACTGAGGTCATTAATAACATGGTCTACTTCAGTTTTACAAGGTGGGACAGTCACTTGGCCATGGAGTCTGATTCAGCAAAAGGGAACTCACCTGTGGGAAATTAATCATCTTCACAGGAATCATGGACTCCAGGAGTCTGCATCA